GATAAAGAAGATGTGGCACATATATACAATGGAATATTACTCAGCCATAAAAAGAAACGAAGCGCTGGCGGTGCTGCTGTACCGCGCGGCCGGCCAGCGCGCCGTGCCTGCCGTGCTCGGTAGCGCGGGGCTCGTGTTCCTGGTGGGCGAGGTGGTGCCGGCTGCCGTGAGCGGGCGCTGGACGTTGGCGCTGGCGCCGCGCGCACTGATCCTCAGCCGCCTGGCAGTGCTGCTCACCTTGCCCGTGGCGCTACCCGTGGGCCAGCTGCTGGAGCTGGCGGCGCGGCCAGGGCGGCTGCGTGAGCGCGTGCTGGAACTGGCGCGCGGCGGCAGCGACCCCTATAGCGATCTCAGCAAGGGCGTGCTGCCCTGCCGGACCGTGGAGGACGTGCTCACGCCCCTCGAGGACTGCTTCATGCTGGACGCCAGCACCGTGCTGGACTTCGGCGTCCTGGCCAGCATCATGCAGAGCGGCCACACGCGCATCCCCGTGTACGAGGACGAGCGTTCCAACATTGTGGACATGCTCTACCTCAAGGACTTGGCCTTCGTGGACCCCGAAGACTGCACGCCTCTCAGCACAATCACCCGCTTCTACAGCCACCCACTCCACTTCGTCTTCAACGACACCAAGCTGGACGCCGTCCTGGAGGAGTTCAAACGAGGTAACGGCCGGGGAATCGCGGAGGGGACTCGCATGTCAGCGCCCTACAGAAGGAGTGGGGGTTTAGGGAAGCTTCTGGGGAAGGGTCCCACCCTCGTGGAGGGCAGGGAAGCCTCTAAGGGCCCTTTTAATGAAGAGGATGGCTTTGCAGCTCTGAATGACCCTTCGAAATATCATTTAAAGGCTGTAGCTCTGAAACTAACAGTGCTATAGACAGCAAAAATCCCCTTCTCCTGGCAGGCCCCCAGTTTGGGGAGGTATGTCTACTTGGCTCTAACTCTCCAGCTCTTTACCAGGTCATTTCTGTGGCCTTTGGCTTTGTAGCAGGTCCAAACTCTTGGATAGAAACTGAAAGAACATAGAAGAGTATAGTCTTCAGGTACCTGGATGCTGCTGTCTGCACACATATAATATAAAAGTATCTGGTCCTGTGATGTTTCCAGGGCATTATTGTTAAGGTCACTGATGGGCTGCTACCTTCCTGATTGGTAAAAGGAAGGGAAAGGGAATGATTGGTAAATATTTTTCTACAGGTGTGGGAGAAACTTCCACTGTAATTTCACCAGAAGCAACTTGATGGATACCAATTAGTCTCCCTTTACTTTTTTTTTTTTTAAACCCCGAGTAAGGTCTCAAGCTCTCTCTTAACTCCATATTTTCACCCTCTCCTTTCACCCTGGTAAAAACTGAGACCCTCGCATTGTGAAGGTTTGGATTCCCCTGCAGTCTCCCTCTCCGTTGTTGGGCTTGGGTGTCCTCCCCAGAGCTTGGCCATGTCTTGGCCACTAGCCAGGCTTTTCACACCTGAACTGCAGGATGGGCTTGGGGACACCTCAGGACTCTGGATGAGCCTCACCCTAAAGACTGCATAATTGCGGTGGAGAACTGAGCAGCTCCCCTCATCTTCCTGGCAGCTGTGAAGTCTCCAGGCCCCTGTGAGCCCCTTGACTGTCAGGGCAGGGAGGCCAAGCTCTGCAGTAGTGACCATGTTACTCCTGCATTAGCACTGCTGTATGGCGGCCACTAGTGGGCGCTCTCGCGCACCATCTCCTGCTGGAGGGGGTTGAAGTTAGGCAGTAACTGTTATTACTGTATCTGGGGATCTCGGTGGGAGACTTTGATGGGCAGCCCTGGCTGCTTTGCTAGAGAATCTCTGATAAGCTCCTGGCTGTTTCCTCAGAGAGTAGCCACGCAGCCCTTCACTGGGGAGAGGATCCTGGGTCGGGGGCCAGGCAGAGCCCCCAGGTAGCAAGTACTCTGCCTCCAAGTAGTACTGTAGTCTCTGAGGCAGTGGGGATTCTCGTGGCCTGGTGGCCAGCCATGCAGGCCCTGGAGTCAGCAGGGAAGGGTGCCATCCTGCCCCTGCCACCTTCCGGCTTGAGGCCCTGGGGAGGCCGGGCCTGACCACCAGGGTGGTGACTGAGCAGAGCGTGGCACCATCTGAGTGGTTTGCACAGATCACTGACTGGTGTGGAGACCACAGTTGGGGGGTCCCAGTGGTTGGCGGGTCCAGTGAGAGGTGGTGGTAGCCTGAACAGGGGTGCGCAGCGGGCCTGGAGAGGAGTAACCCAAGAGGGCATTAGAAGGTGGGCTTAGGAGGATTTTGTGGTTAGCTCAGGGACTGGGGGGCAAGAAGAGGAGCTGAGGATGAATGTGCATTTTGGCTTGGTGGTGGCCTTGACCTTCCCTGAGGCAGAGCACACGCAGGGAAGAGAGGGCTTGGGGGCGGTGGCGGGTGGCAGGCAGATGAGTTCGTTCTGGACCCTGGAATTTGTGGCTGTGCAGTGGCCCGAGAGGCAGGCTCCCAGGATTGGTTGATGTGCAGTGAGATGCAAGTGAAAGCCCCAAGCAGGAGGGAAGGATCTGGACGTCTGTGTTGAAGTGGTCCTAGGACGCGGAGCTTAAAGAGGGGCACAGCAGGGAAGGGGTGGAGGGCAGAGAGCAGGGGCTGCTGAGGAGAGCCAGACCCTGGAATGCCCTGGAAACTAAGGGAAGGAGCGTGATGAGGAGAGAGGCTGGTGGCGTGACCTTTGGATGCAGCAACCAGGATACCCTGACCTTTGCAGAGCAGTTGTGGTGCCGTGGAGTGGGGTGCTGGGGATTGAAGTATGCCAGCCCAAGGAGACAGGCCTTCCAGGAGGTATGGCTGCAGAGCGCAAGCCAGGGGGCGGTGGCTGCGAGAGGCTGGGCGGGCAGGAGGCCTTCTGCTCTTTGGTTGTAAGATGGGGGATCTTAAGATGGGGAGTCGAGTGGGTTTAGGTCGAAGTTGGTAGGAAGTTGCTGGGAGGGAGGGAAGGCCAGTGCAGGCTGCTTCCGTTCTGGGGTGGTGGCCTTGGGGCGGCTCTGGAGAGCCTCCTCCTAGAAGGCGGTGGGGGAGGGGTGCAGTCTGGAGGTTGAATGGGGGGCTCTTCAGTCCCCTCGGCCTCCTGACTCCTGTGGAGAGTGAGGGCCATTCTCAGGGCAAGATGGCCGCGTCTTTCCTGTGATATCCTGAGCTTTCTCTGCTCCCGTGCAGTGTAGTCCTTTGGCAGATAGCTTTACGTTTCCTCACTAAAGTCCTTGTTAGCCTAACACTCTTCATCATTCCTCTGCTCGTGAACAAAGGGCATATCGCAGCCTCCTTGGTGCATGAGGTTTTAGGAACCAATCCCCTTCCTGTCTCTCTGCCAAGTGTATGAGACGGTGGTCCCTCTGAATTCCCGAAGCTGGAGGCCCTGGCATCTTGGCAGTTACTGCCGTTCCGGGCCCTGTTTCTTTCTCTCCTTCAGAGCACAGTTTTGGAACTGTATAGTCTGGGACAGGCACCTTCCCCGGTGAGGTGCCCCTCAGTCACTGTGCAGGCTTGAGGTGACAGCTGATTGTTTTGTGCAGGCATTGCCAGGGGGAGCGCGTACTTTGGAGGTGTAGTAAGTAGCATGTATTTTCTTTAAAGCTATTAACCCCTGCCTTCTTTGTCAACCCCCAGTGACAACCACCGGTGACCTCAAGGACATTCAGCCAAAGGAGGGATTAGGATGGGTGCGCTTTTCGGAGTCTGCTTTAAACCCTGAGTTGTGGTTCATTGCCTGTCAGAAGCCAAAGGATTGCCCCAACTCTGAAGAGTCAGACCTGCTCAGACATCTGTGAGGGATGGTCACATAGTACTTTCCTCACAGGATACGTTCAGACAGTTTTTTAAAAAAAATCCTAAAGAGGCAAGGCAGAGGAATTTCAACTCCAACTGCATTTTTAGGAAAGTCCTAGAAAATAGGAGTTATGGAAGGGTCCTCTAGCATCCCTGTCGTTTGTGAGCCTGCTAACTAAAATCAGAGCTCTAGAGCTTTTCAGAACTTCCTGGTCGACGTCGGCAGGTGTGCCATCTACCCCTGGCCTGCGGCTCTGTAGAGCTTTTGCGGGGAGAGCTGACGGCACCTGTCTTGGGGCCTGTGTCCGTGTTTGCAGTCAGCCAGCCGGGGCGCCCCATATCTTCAGGGCATTTTATCCTATCAGATGAGAAGCTTGAATCCCTCCAGCTTCCCGTTCTCTGTGTGCCCCTTACTCCTTTCTCCTGGTTGCCTCCTGGACCCCTCAGACGTTCTGTCTTAAGGTTAAATCACGTGGCCACTGTTTGGGGGACCTTGCAAGGACTCTTCTTTCTTCTGTTCGTTATTGAATCACCTCATCACTGAGAACCTTGCGCCTATTTTATAGAAGTTTTGAAAGCAAGGTAGAACTTAGTCATTCCTGTAGGTAACCTGCCAAAGGGACTGGCTTTGTGGAAGAAGGGGGCTGAAGTGGGTCCTCTGCTCCCAGATGGCCATCTAGAACCTGGGCTTTGGCTCCCGAGATCCCAGAAGACTGTTGACCCACATTGTGTGTCGAGCCTCAGCCTTCCTGATGTAGCCTAACGGATTTGTATCCCGTGGCAGAGCTGTTGGGGCCCTTGTAGCAGTGCTGCCTGCCTGCCGGTGTGAGCCATTCCAGCCCAAACACCAAGGGGTGGGAAGCGTCTGGAAATGCCACGTTCCTCATTCAGTGCCTCTGTCTCAGC